GGAATAGACTATAAGGAGACTTATATCCCTATAGCTTATCTAGAAGCTATTAGACTCCTTTTGGAATTTGCTTGCTGTCTGATTTTAAGATTTATCAAATGGATGTTAAATCTGCTTTTTTTAACAGTCATATAAACAAAGGGGTGTATGTCTCACAAACTTTGGGTTTTCAAGATCACGATAACCCTAACTATGTTTTTAAACTAAAAAGAGCCTCTATGATCTCAAACAAGCTTCTAGAGCTTGGTATGAGAGATTGAGTGACTCTTTTATCAAACAAGGATTCAATCATTGCAAAGTCGACACCACTTTGTTTATCAGACGTAAAGAAAAACATATTATTTTGGTTCAAATATATGTAGATGATATCATATGCAGTTCTACTGTTGAGTCTCTTTGTTGAGAGTTTGCAAATTTGATGCATGGAGAATTTGAGATGTCTCTTATGGGAGAGATGGCATATTTCTTAGGATTGCAAATCAATCAAGTCGAATAAGGCACTTTCATACTACTTAGAGCTTCTCAAGAATTTCGATATGAGTGACTCAAAAGTATCTCAATACTTATGGCATCTAATGTGCTTATTGACAAATACGAAAGAGGAGTGAACTTCAACATTACTAGATAGGTATAATCTGATCCTCACTCTATTTAACTACGAGTAGGCCATATATCATGTTTAGTGTGTGCATGTGTACTAGATATCAAGTATCACCTAAGGAATCTCATTTTAAGACCGTAAAACGTATTTTGAGATATCTTAATGGAACCTTGCAACATAGTATATGGTGTCCTAACAGTAGTGCTTGTAGCTTAGTAGGTTATTCTGATTCCGATTTCGCGCGGTGCAAGTCGGATATGAAAAGAACTAGTGTAACCCTTCACTTATTTGGATTTTTTTTAGTTTCTTGGCATAGTAAGAAGAAACATAGTGTTTCACTTTATACCATCGAGGGTTAATACGTAGCTTCTAGTAGTTGTTGTGCATAAGTCTTATGGCTAAAGCAACAATTGTTAGATTATGATTTAAAACTTAGCTGCATTCCAATTAAGTGTGATAGTACTAATGTGATTAGCCTCACTAAGAATACGTACTTAATTCACAAAATAAACACATTGAGATCTGACACCATTTTCTTAGAGACCATGTTGAAAAAGGGGATGTTGTTTTTGAATACGTTGGCAGTAAAAGTTAGCTTGCTGAAATTTTTACAAAACCATTGTCATTAAACTCTTTTCGCAAGATTCGTAGGGATTTGGGAATCTTGGATTTCTCGTGCTTTAAATAGAATAATAATTATGTTTAGTTTAATTTTTTATAGTTTGTTTTCACTAACATTATTTTGCAGCAAATCATACTTTTGCCGACTATATTGGTATGTCTCTATAACTCTTGTATCTTATTTGTATCATTGTATGTGTGTGTTTGTTCTAGATGTATTCATTTATTTTCTTATTATATTATTTACTTTACTCATTTATCTCTAGCATGTTTTGGTTATTCTCGTTGGCATTAAAATCTTTTAGACATGTGTGGTTTATTATGTGAATTCGAGCATTAATTGTACTTGTTCATGCATTATTTAAGTTGTTAATATATTTCTTTACATGATAATTTTTATCACTTATTATATATTGTTGAATATTTGATGTTAGATGTCTATCTTGTATTTTGTTGATTGTAGCATATTTATCTTTGTATTATGTATCTGATATTTGTTGGTGTATATCCTTCTTAGATATTTAGCTCACATGTTCATCAGGAATTACATGTTGTGTTTGATTGTTTAGTTTCTAGATCCATAATATTTGGTATCTCTTTTTGATGTTGTCAAAGGAGGAGAAAGTTGTAATGAGTCTAGTATTGATTTATCTGTTTTATGTTGTGGTTTTTCTACAATGTTTCAGGGGGAGCATAAATTTTATTTTGTTTTAGCTCAAAGTCGACTCAATTACAAGTGAAACTTTTCCAAGCATAAAAAAGGGGGAGAATGAAGTTGCATATTCCTAGGGGGAGAATGTTGCATGTCTGTATCACAAGCAAGTGGAGCATCCTCAATACGATTATTTTGTTATTTGTCTTATCACTTTCGTTTATTATCTTTTATTAAGTCTCCCTCATGATTGCATATTTTTTTAATCAAGTTTGAAATCGATTCATTATTCGTTTTAGCATGCATGAAATAATGGTTATGTTTTAACTTGGTCAAGATACTTTTAGTGGATTTCATGAGTTGGTGGAATAAAATCTATATGTATTTGATTCAAGTTAGGTACAAAGAAAAATCTCAAAGTACTTTTGAACATATGAAAATTTGAGATTTTGTGTGTTTGATTTGAATCAATAAATTAAACACACATTCTAATTCAAATCAAGTCCAACAAAGGTGAAACAAAGGTTTTTAAATAATTTCATTCGAATCAGGTTTTGTAAGTGATTCAAATCAAGCAATTTACTGGCCACCTCTGCTCAATTTGATTAAAATCACACTTTGCACATTATTTGAATCACACATTTTTTTGGCATTTTTAAGGATATGTTGTAGTTAATTTGAATCATATTTTGTAAATGATTTGAATCACGAGGTCTTTGATTCTAATTATGCTTTGTACTTTATTCAAATCAAGTGAAAAATGAGTCAAAATCTAATTTTTTTTATTCCATTGACTTGCTAATTTGATCCAAACCATGCATTGTTCTTGATTCAAATCTAACCAACTTTTACCACTCATTTTTATGCTTAATATCAAGCACATATAAAAAAAAATTCAACACTATTTTATGTGTGAAATTTCATATTCATTTGTGATTTTCTGTGAAATCAACTCTTTCATTTTGAAAATGTTTAAAAACCTTGCATTTGATTTTCTTTCATCTTCAATCTCAATTATGTTATCAGATCTGGATTGTGTGAGATTTGTGATTGATTGAGGGAGACATTCTCTTGAAACTAATTGTTCTTGAAGATTGGGTAAATATTTTTTCAGATTGTTGTAAGATTGAGGAGTTGTCATTGTTGTTGACAATTCCGGTGTAAAAAGAAGAAGGTTCTTCTCTCCATATTGCCTTAGTAGTGACTGTTTGGAAGGCTACATATAAGACAAAGTTCTTCTCAGATCTTCACACAATTCACCGCTCAAGGAATCGGTGGGATCAAATGGTTGATTGCTATAAACAAAGACTTGGAGAAGAATTGGTGATATTTGAATATTCTTGAAGCGTTAATCAAGTAAAGATTGCGCATAAGAATTTGACGTAAAGTTTTATAAAAGTTAAGATCCCGAATCAAAGATTTATTTTCTTCAACATTATTATAGATTAGTGATTCTATGAACTCTTTCAATATTTTTCAAAATAAAAGGAATTATGCATGTTCCAATGGGAAACCATTGAAGAGTACATGTAGACTCATGTGAGGACGACAAAATCGAAGTACTATAAATCTCGATGTTTCTCTCTCTCTCTCTCTCTCTCTCTCTCTCTCTCTCTCTCTCTCTCTCTCTCTCTCTCTCTCTCTCTCTCTCTCTCTCTCTCTCTCTCTCTCTCTCTCTCTCTCTCTCTCTCTCTCTCTCTCTCTTACCTTTGCATTAAAATTTCGTAGTACATTGCATGCTTAGGTTTTCAATTCTTAGAGTAGTTTATCGTTTATTTCATTGATAGGGATTTACTGCCTAAGATTAGGTTTTGTTAGAATTGGAACCTAAATGAACTTTATTGGTGATTAAAATCTGAGAAACTTGTTGAGTTTAGAATTCACAATTTGAATCATTGTATAATCACTTCTCGTAAATTATACTGGCGGTATCGATTGAATACCTTGTGTATCATCATTAATTCAGTTTGTGATATTTATACATTGATTAAATGTTTACGTCATTTAAATCCAATTCGAGTATAATTCACTGTATTTCGCTCTAAAACATTTTCACGTGCATACTTTGAAAACCTATGATAATTTGTTTTCAAAGAATCAATTAAAGTTTATTTTTAAGAGTCTTTTCAAACCACACCCCCCTTCTAAATTGTTTTCTCACACAATATTCTACCAACATTATAGTGGATGAAGTTCATTTCATTTTCTTTTCTTGCTTTGTTTGGTTTTGTTTCCTTTTCTCAATTTCATGTTCTGTTCCATTTATTTCTGAGTGGCAATAATGATATTTTCGAGTTTCATTTATGAAAGAAATGATATTTTTTAATTTTGTTTCGTGGAAAAGACGAAGTTTGGAGGGAGAAGATAAAGTTTCGTGTATTTTGTGTATGACTGAAATAATATTATGTTCTGAAATATATAACATTAAGGATTTTCCTATGGGTTGAGTGGCACAACCAAAGGAGTCGATGAAATTTTACCTATCGATTGCCACCTCAACCGTGGGAATGTGGTTTATGTTTTAATTTAAAAATAAAAAAATCAAGTGAAATATATTTTTTTATTAGTTGTCAGCTCAACCGAAAAAATAGATAATACTTTTTTAAATAAAAATAAAAAGAGCAGTTGTTAAGAATCGAAGACGTATCCCTAAAATGTGTTTTCTATCGATTGCAAGCTCAACTGACAGAATGGGCAAGGATCTACTGTCTTTAAGGCAGGAAAGACACTATGCCTTTGAGTGTGTCTCTCTCTTCACATGACTCTCTCTCATCCCATTTTTCTTTCTCATCAAAAGTGAAAAATATTAACCAAAGACATGATGCCTTTCCTACCTTAAACGCATCATATCTTTGCCCAGACATAATAGGTTGTCAATTTTTAATTAATAAATAAAAATAATCTGAGGACTTTTACGTTGATAACTCAATCGAGGGAATAGTGAAAATTCCTCAGGCATCTTATTTATATTTTGTTGAAGTTGACAACTAAGTAGTGGCACTGAATTATAAAATAATTAAGAGAAAGAATGTGAAAACATCAAATCCACATATTGATCATCAAATGAACTTATTTATTTATTTTGAAGCCGATGACAATATTTATAAGTATAGGTGGCTTTTCTCTTCAAATTAAGGATAGAGAAGTTTGCACCATCTTGTAAACAGCATCCCATCCATTTTGAGTAGGATGAAAATCGTCCCAAAAGAATGAACTCTCTGGATTATCACATAAACTATATCTCTTCTCTCCTCTCTCATCTACACTTCCGCACTGATAATTTGAACTCTCTGGAACACAACACGGTCGCAACACATTCGCGACTCTCGAGTTTCCTGCATAATAAGACTAAAAAAGTTTGGCAATTTGCTTGATAAAATAATTAACTATAACGCTATATAATTAATTACCATAATGCTTTTTCTGCATTGTTTCAATCACGGAGAGAAAAGATTTGTAGAGGTCTAATGTCACGAAAACCGATTTACTTTCTTTGTTCAGATCTTCCACAGTTTGAAGAAGTAACTCGTTGTGCTTCATGACCAGCATGTTGATAGTGTCATTGCACTTATCATATGTTTTAGTTATTACCGGCAAACACCCAACAGGCTCTAATAGTCCAATTTTTATTTTATTTATTCCCACGTTATGGATGCGTTTAAGATTTATTGACAATTGGTTTATAAGTGAAGCACTGAAATCTAATATCTCCTGCAAGATAATGATAGTAAAATTTATCATTCATAACACACTAACATATGATAAAAATGAGTTAGTAAGTTAAATCATTTACCTTAATGTTCTTCCCATCTTTAAACAAATATTGAAAATAGTCGTTACCAGCAACAGTGACTAGGGCAACTGAGTAATCAATGTCGGATTTAGTATATATATTTTGTTTGATTATCTCTTCAAATGAGTTGATTTGGATTGTCATGTTTGGTCCTTTAAGAAATGTGTCGAAAACACCAGTTCCTCCGTAGGCAAAGTTTATACCAAATTGAAGATCAGATGAATTTCTCAATGAATATGGTGCAGGAGATTTTATTTTCAAAGAGGAAGCTGTTTGTATATATTTATACAAAGTAAAATAAATGCGTGTTTGTTAGAACATCGACCAGAATAGAAGATAAAAAATACAATAAAGTATAAGACAAAGAACACCATTGATATTTGTTACCAATATAATCGGTGAGAACACGACCATCGGAGAATCTTCCAGAGGGTTGATGAGGAAATGTGATTCCATATGGAGGTTTATAAGATGGCGAGTTTAAAAAATTTCCTGTGTCAGCGTAGGAGTCTCCAAATACAAACAATTTTTCATATGACGACTTCTTAGTCCCTTCTATAAATTCATCGTTTAAGTTTGCATTAATTGAATTGCATGTAAAAATCAAATTAAAATAAGTCATTATATTTAATGTACGTTAATAAGCGTACCTGTAGTTATTGATATCATGAAAAGGAGAATAAGCAAAGAGAGAAGCGTGATGATGGGTGGAGTTTGCTTTGCCATTGATGAAAAATAATTAGTATAGTACATGTATTGGGGGCGATATAGGATAAGTATAAATGTTACTCAAACTAATGTATCTAAATGATACGTATACGTTACATTTAATCGAGTGTGTAAGAAATTTACATGTCAAGATGATGCACTCAACTACACTTTTAATTAGAAATATGTCTACAAATAGATCGTTCCTTATATGAAATAACAATGCGTTTAAGTAGAGTATTATGACTACTATAAGGAATACAGAATATTTGCATTTAAGGGGCGAACGGCTAGATGAACGATTGGATATTTTACTAAATTCAAGTAATTTGTAGTTAAATCTTGGAACTTGTCAATAATTTATAATGGATTCTCTACTATTATATTACTCAAGTTTACCCAAAGTATGTGGTTAGTAGCAAGAAAAAGTTATCACAAAAATATTCAAATATCCAAATATGTGTATAATTGGATCTGGACTCTACTAGTTTTTAGTGGCGTTTGCTTATTTTGCTCAAGCTAATCTCACTCTCCTTTCTCAGTCCCCCTTATCTAGGCGAATTCAACCTTTACTCTCATTGGACTAGTTGGATGGACTCCCTATAAGGTAGTGATTTTCTCCTATCAGTGTTTTTTGGGATAGTTTCCCCTCTAAAAAGAATATGTTCAAACAAAAGGTCATTGTTCACTTAGAGGATATCTCTTGTATCTTATTTGAGGATTGACTTGAGAATGTCTCTCATCTTTTGGTTACTTTTGTCGTATAAGATTTTAAGTGGTTGAAGGTCCAATTGGTTAACTCTGAAGGGGTGAAAAACACAAGAAGGGGGGGTTGAATTGTAAAACTGGAATCTTAAAGCAAATGACAAGATATTTTTATCCTGGTTCGTTTGATCTCAAACTACTCCAGTCCACCCGTCAAGGTGATTTCGCCTCTCTCCAACGAGGTCTTAATTCACTATATTCAACTGAATACAAATCTGCTTTAACAACTGCTAAAGCCTTCTTGATTCAAACCACAATCCGGTTTGTCAAGGCAACACTTTCTTACAAAGGTATAAAATAATGTGTGTGAATGTTTTCTACAAAACTATATCACAACTGTGATGTTTACACAAATGAAGCTTAGAATACTAGGATGCTAAACACTAATGGAGTATCAGAGTTTGTTGGTTTAGCAAAACTGGTAGATGAAGATTATTGTTCAGCTTTGTGCGTGTAGAGAGTTTTGAAGCATTAGCCATGATAATCTTCAAAGCTTGGTTTATATAGCACTTGAGAAGATGAACGTTGAAGCAAATATTCTTGATTCAATGCTAATAACAAGCTTTCCTTTTTGAGCAGATCTTGTCTGGAATGAGGCCGTTGGAATTGATTAGCGTTCAATGCACAGTACCGTTGCTTCTTTAATGCACGTTCTGGCTTGGCTCATTCTGATTCTGCTTCGCTGCTGATGAACTATTGTTTCTGTATCAAAGTGTTTACGCGCAGTTCTGTTCATCAAACTTCAGCGTGTACGTGAGTTGATCATCTGATCTTCACGTTCTGATTCAGCAACTTCTGATGCTGGTGTATCAAATCAAGTTCTGATGCTGAATAAGTGATCTTGCTTATTTTAATCAGCATATCTGCAAGTCAGAGCATAGTATTTTTAGGCAGCATATAATTCAAACATGAAACATACAAATACTATATCTTTTCACTTTGTTATCATCAAAACTTAAATATAGGGTACTAGATTCAAACATTGTTCTAACAAACTCTGGAGAACCTAGGTGTCTTTTGATTTAATTTATTTATTTAAGACATAAGACAAAGTTATGGGAGAGTTTTTTATGATTTGTCATGCAGAGGTGTGGATTATTTAGTTTGTTCGTAATGGTAATCTTTTTTTGATTTGTCAACAAATGTGAATGAGTGGAGGATGAGAGTTTTTTTTTTTTGGAAATTAGTTTCTTAATCGTCCACCATTGAATTATTCTCTTTCTCGGGCTCACTTGAGAATCTTATCTTGTGTCTAAATCTTTAGCGAAACAAGAGTTATGACATGTTCTAGTGGAGCTTTGTCGTTCCGGTGTTGCTTGTGTGAGTGCAATGTCCTCTCTTAGATGTTTTGAATGATGTCAAAACTAGGTAATATGTAGTATTTGTAAATTGAACCTTATCTTTCTATGTCTAGGTTGCATTTTCATCTTATGACACTTACGAAACAAGTCAAAAGCATTTGGACAAGTTAAAAGTGCCAAAAATATGCATTTTTATGAAAAACCATGTTTAGAGTCAACTCCCTCGTGTTAGGAGTCGACTCCCTCTGAAGTAAAATTAAAAACAAAGGTTTATGTCAAAAAGGAGTCGACTTTCAACTCTTTGGAGTCAATACATAACACGAAGGAGACGGCTCCCAAGTGCTATGTCTCGACTTCCACTGAAACATTTTTCAAAATTCTTTTTCTGTCCATTTGAAGTCGACTCCCAGACTGTATGGGTCGACTTCATTGCCTTGTGGGTCGATTCTCACCTCGAATGAGTCGACTCCCACTCTTCAAAGTATTCAATTTTGTAATTTTGCAACCTTATTTTTCCTGTTTTTTATTTCTCACACTCACACATATTTATATAGTCATTCATACATCATTTCTCATCATTGAAACCAAAAATATTCAAAGATTTTTATCATCTTCATCCTCTGTCATTGCATACATACAACAACTACACATAATCAGTTTTGTTGTGTGATCAAGAGATAGTTTGATAATGTCCAATTAGGATTTGGTGTAATCAATTGGATTGAAAGACCTTTGGAGGTTTCAAGATAAATTCGTTTAGGGTTTCCTTCCAAGATCAAGGATTGATTTAGGAATTTTGTACAAGATTGTGAAATTAGGATTCAGCCGATTCAAAGTTTGAAGAACGGGGGGTTTCTGTCAAAGGAGTAACGGTAACCGAAGGATCACTTTGGTAATCTTGGGCCACGATACGTTCGCAATTTGGATTCAGTTGAGTGGAGACTTTGAAGAACGAGAGTTATGTCAAACGAGTAGTGGTAATCAAAGGATCAAATTGAAAGTATCGTGTTACTAGATTGAGCTCTGATCAAAGGGAGAGAAGAAGTTAGGATCAACATCAATAATAGGGTTTGGAGGGTTGTATTGCTACTTGTTCTCTTGTAAATAATATTTTCAAAAACTAATTTTCATTATCTCAATTTCAAGTGGAATTTGGAGCAGACGAACCCATAGCGAAGCTGATTAGGGAACTTCCTAAACAAATTCATCTCTCTCTCTCTCTCTCTCTCTCTCTCTCTCTCTCTCTCTCTCTCTCTCTCTCTCTCTCTCTCTCTCTTACTTTTACTTGTAAATTATGAAAAAATTTATTCACTGCTACAAAACACGCAAACAATAACGCCTAATTTACCATGGTTCTTCCCAACACCGTGGTAACATCTCTAAACCCAGGCGTTGACATTTTTTTGTTAAAAATGGTTAGGATATAATAACGTTTATTGCCATAATTGACGTTATACAATCAAGCTTTCTTGGGTTCGAACCTCAGTTCCCTCAAATATATTATTCATTTAACGTTAAGGCACATCTTTTCTATTTTATTTATTTTTAAATATAAAATAAAGGGTTACGACTTCGATTGTTTTATTTAAACATTGTGACACACACACATACACACACACACACACACAACACACACACAAGCACAAACACACACACACACACACACACACACACACACACACACACAAGCACAAACACACACACACACACACACAGTATGAGTTTATAATATATGGTGATGATGATGATGGTAGCAAGCGCATAGTATGAGTTGATAAGTTACATATAGTTAATGTAGCAATGGAAAAAATAGAAGAAGTATGAAGTCATTGTGGAAACTTTATCCACCTTGTATTTCTTTTTTATTGCTTCACAAACTAGATGAACTTCATTGTTCCACAATTATTTTCAATAAAAGGCGTGTTCTATAATTATTTAATATATTTTGTGATGTTATATGATGTTAGTGTTTTGTTGCTAAAATGTATTTTTTATTTATTGTGTTACATGTATTTGTTGTGTTGTTGTATGATGTTTGTTGACAAATGTTCTCAAAATAAGAACAAAATATTGCTAAGTCATAAGAAAAAAACTTCTTGTGACTTAGCAATGATAGAAGATGAAGTTTAGTTGACAAATGTATATTATTTGTTTCACAAACCAATTAATAAAAATGCAATCATTTAAATTGACATAGAAACTTATAATATGAAGATTAAGATGTATTTGAAAACCAACATATATCAATCAATGTTTTTTGAATTGTATATGTCTCATTCTGCACATTTTATGTTATTTAACACATAATATATGGTTCAATGATTGGATTTCTATAATACATCAATATCTATTATTCTACTTTACCTCTTCGTCGTTGCTTATTATCGTGATTGTTAAGATCATGATTGTTATGATGATAAGTCATCATAACAATCACGATGATAAGCGATGATGATGAGGTAAACAACAATAAAAGATATTGATGCATTGAAGGAATCCTACCATTGAACTATATATGTGTTAAAGAAAATAAAATATGCACAATGATATGCATGCAATTCGGAATACAGTGGTGTGTTTAAGTTTGTTTTCAAGAATAGTTTAATTTTCAGATTATATAATTCTTTACCAATTTTAATGGTTGTATTTCTTTAATGAAGTGTTATGGTAAAACAAGCAATATACATTGGTATATAATAAACTGTAGGTATGTTCCACAATGTTTTTCTATATTAACCGTGATCTAATGTAATTTATTTTCTATTGAGTTTCAAACTCAATACCGTAATCAATGTTTTTCTATATATCACGCGCACTTTCTAGTATACTATAATGGTCCCAAGACCGTGATTGTTAGTAAGGAATTTACAATAACACTCTACACAACAACGCCTGAACCTGCGTGATTATATGTATTTTCCAATCGTTGTTAAATGGGTTTTTCGTAGTAGT